AGTATTTCTTAAATAAATGTTGCTGTTGGATCTATGCATCCAGTGCCCTAACTGATCAGGGAGTTTTGAATCTTGCCAAGTAGAGCTTGAAGCTCAACATTAATCTTTAATTTTTCCAGAAACTACTAAATCCTCAGGATTCTTCCCTCTACTTGAACTTGATGCTGTATCCTGGAGACTGCAAACATATGCGATTCCAGTAGAAGGCTCAGCATCTATTCACGTAGAATCTGAATTTTACATCCTCTAGCTCTGGCATAATAATCTCCGCAATATTCTTGTGCTGCAAGTTAACACTGAGGAAAAGCATCTTGCCGTTGAACACACTCCTATTCTCAGTTGAAATGAAGAGTATTCACCATCCAACACTAAATACCTCCAAAGCTCTTTCCATCTCTTTCTCTTCCTCCCCATCACAGAAACCCGCAAACCATGCCAGTCCCACCACCGAGCCTTTAGCAGACTGTACACCAGCTCCTTCTCCTCCCCAGAGTTCAGACACCTCCTTATTGGCAAGTCAGGTTCCTTTTGTCCTAAACATGCTTAATGCGACAAGCGTGTTTGCAACCCAACTTCTATTTACGCACCTGTGTTATGCTGTCTCATGCCTGCCACGGGTGTCTACTTTTGTTGGTGGGATGTATTGATAGCTGTTCCCCCAATCTTGTGAGCAGCAAGACACTGAATAGGGAAAACCTGGTGAGCCAGAGATAACGAGGTGACTGCAATGAACCCTCCTGTGAGTTGCATTACTGTGGAAGGTGACTCAAAGCACTTGACTGTAATGATAAGAGAAGGAGACAGGCCACAGCTGGCGGAGCAGCAACGATCGCCGGTTCCACCATCTTCTGAGTAAGTCTGTATTAAAACTGCTCATAGGGACAAAGGGGGAAGACGATCATGCTCAGCTTCGATCTGAATTCAGATTTGTCTTTGTAGTTGCAACTAAGCCCTAAGAGAAGTGACAGAGGTCTGGAACACTCCCACACGTGGACTTAGTCATAGTCACAGCAGAACTGTAACAGATGTGATCACTCGTATAGAACAAAGCAATCAAAGGACACATACCAAATGTTAACAGCCATTATCTCTGGGATCACCTGGAAATCTTATTTCCTTCTGGCTGCTTTTAGTTTCCAAAAATGTCTACAACCGTTGCAAATTCCTTCTATCATCCTCCCCCTAACAGAACATAACTGTATTTAAAAAGGCAAACTGGCTAGTTAAAATATATTCCTAATGTATACACCCAAAACTGTGCTATCAAAAGGTTGTTTGGTTGGGGCTGTGCAGTGAAGTAATTGAGAGCACAGTCTAGAGCCAGCCTACCTGGATGCAAATCTCAGTTCTGACACTTACGAGCCATTGTGACCTTGGGCAAATTTCTTAACCTTTCTTTCCTTCAATTTCTTTATAACGTGAGAATAATAATACCTTCCTTAAAGGATTGTTGTGAGGATTAAATGAGTTCTCATCTAAGAAGTCCCCAGAACAGTGTCTGACGTAACGATTACTTACTACTTATTACAAAATACTATTACTTGTTGCTACGGAGTTGCCATTGCTCAAGATATTTTTGTACCACCTTTTGGGAACCTTGTCCTTAGTCTTAAACTATTCCCTTGAATCATCTCAATAAGAACAAAACTTCTCCTTTGAAAATGTGCTAATTCTTAGGAGCAGTCAAGCAGTTTGGGGTCCAGAAGAAGGCATATTTATGAAACCAACAGGTTGATGCTCTTGCTTTGTTCATCTGCTGTCTATGAAGAATTCCTCAAACGCAGCTGCACACACACACACCCAGACAGTTCAGCACCATCCAGGGCTTGATCAATCCCTGGGTAACTAATAAGTTCTGCCTTTGCTGGAGAGAGATTGAAAAACAAGTTTTAATTATGAAACCTCTTTGTCTGATAGATCTTGAAGGTTTTACAGATTGGCACACTACCAAAGGGCAAATTTCACAAAAGGCTGATTTACATTTAAATCCTAGTATTTCTTCTTCCTCAAAGTTTGCTGATGCTGAATTTTAAATATGAAATGTCATTGTTTTCATACAAATATTCCCAAACATTACCAATTGTCATTTTGGCATTAAATAGGGTTGCAACATTACAATTGTAACATTAGCATTTTTGAAAGCATAACATCATTGTTCGGTAAATTGTTGCAGGCTCAAATTACCCTACACATAATCTTTTAAAATTAATGGGCCAGGAGCATCAGAATCAGTTCGGGCTGGATGTAAAGAATGGCAGCCACCTCCTTTTGCTGGGACCTTGGTTGTCTCACGCTAGTCCAATTATCATCCTCATGGAACATGGTGTGATGATGTACCTCACTGCATATGTAAATAAAGGTAAATAACATATTCGCTTAACCTTCCTTTCCAAAGATGCAAAGAATTTTGACAAAATCTAACTGGGTGGCTACAAAGCAAAAGAATCCTCCATGTTCCTAATTATTGAACTCTGCAAAAATGTTTTCCAATAAAAAAGGTTTCATTGATCTACCATCCATAGGTAATATTGTGTTCCACAAAAATGACTACAAAGAAATCTAAGTATACTTCTTTATGTCTTCAAAAGTTGTTTTTAATCTTTCTGCTGGGAATCCTTTTAAAAAAAATCACTATTACACATCTCTTAATATTGTACTGATAGGGCTATACGGCATGACAACTCCAACAAAGAGCAGCAGTTTAAGGATGCAATAAATCTAGTTTATTTTGACTCTTCCACTTTGCTACATGTGAGACCTTGGAGAAGATACTCTTCTTTTAAAACAACATCTTGGACTGGGTGTAGTGGCTCAGGCCTGTAATACCAGCACTTTGGGAGGCTGAGGCAGGCAGATCACAAGGTCAAGAGATCAAGACCATCCTGACCAATGTGTTGAAACCCTGTCTCTATTAAAAATACAAAAATTAGCTGGACATGGTAGCATGCATATGTGATCCCAGCTACTCGGGAGGCTGAGGCAGGAGAATCACTTGAACCCAGGAGGTAGAGGTTGCAGTGAGCCAAGATGGCGCCACCGCACTCCAGCCTGGCAATAGGGTGACACGCCACTTCAAAAAAATAAATAAAACAATATCTTTTTTCTGTTGAAAGAAAGATTAATATCTTAATCACAGAAGTACTCTTAGAATTAAAAAACATATATACATATATATATTTATATAAAGAGTTTAGCATAGTCACTAGCAAAGAGGGGTTCAGTAGAAAGGGATGATAATTATTCTAATCGGATGGCTACTTACTGTGTAGGGCTCTGGTTTTATGCTAAATATTCCCAATAAGTCTGTTTGCTGGAGTTCCTTTATTTCTCACATAGGTTTTCCAGCAGTCTAACTCTAACTCGCGGCTTCACTTCTATAGTCCTCAGAGTAGCTGCCTTTAGCCGCCTCAACTCATTTTCAGTTTGTGGTGGGCTGGGGAACCCAATAATCATAGCTGATGGATATAGTCAGAATCTGGGGAGCTACCTTGAGGTATGCTCAAGGACTGAAAAACAGTAGACCTCCAGAGCTAAACTTTAAAACCAACATATAATAGGCAGAATAATCTGACAGATACGACAGCTCTTAGCCAGGAAGATTCAATTCAAACTCAGTCCAAATGCGTTAATATTTGCTATACAATATTTTCATGAGCAGGGGAGCTTGCTGTAGAGATGAGTCAGAGTGACCAATGTGGGCAGTGCCCAAGCCCTGCCCAGGGGAACCACAATGCATGGACTTGAAGTACTAGATCCCATTGGCAAGATCTTTTTAAATAGAAATGGATACAGGGAGTTGCAATCTGACGGTTTTGAACGGAGGAGTTTATATGGAGATGATTTCTGTTGTGGTGTCAAGGCTTTGTTCATTAATTCAGTATTTATTGGGCAACCACTATGCTAACCCAGATCCCTCCTACTTTTAAAATTCTTTGCCCCTGCTCTCCAAGCAACCTTCTAGTGGTGACTGGTTCCTGGGGCAGATCTCCCTACAGGGAGAGAACACACTGGTCATGCGGACACCGTAAGGAACAGGACACTTCCCAAGGGTGAATTAACTAATGGACATTATGACGTTGCATATCGAAATTCTGAGTTGGGTTATGGTGTGTTTAGCCATGAGAGATGAATTCACTATCAGGTGTTGACAAAAATTACGTAAGCCCGAAAACCTAAGGATGAGGCCGTGACGAAGGAGATTCACCAAGGTGGTAAGTCTCCCTGGGGATTTGGATTGGTGCAGTGTGTTGGGCTAATGTATTCTTTCTGACACTGAATGATCACATGAAGTGGTGTGGCACAGTGATTCAGAAAAGGATCTGGGATCAGAAACACCTGGGATGGGAGGCTGGTTTTCTAAGTAAATGGCTTCACTTTCTATGCCTCTTTTTCTTCATTCACAAAACCGGATGATAATACTTCAGGGTTTGGCTCTGGCTCAGTTTCTAAACAAAAGCAGCATACCAGAAGACCTGTTAAATTCTTAAAATCCTGCCCCCCTCCCCCACCCAATTCCACAGCCTCCAATCCTGACTTACAGGCCCATTTGTCATCCAACTGCCCATAAGAGGTACGTGCAGTGCTCCTCACAAGACTGTCTGTGGAAACCCGTGGAAGTGCTCTTAGATGCACCATGCATCTATACTGCTGTGCTTTCTTCTTTTAGATTTGAAAATTGCCTTAGCAAACTGTCTCTTAGCAAATGTAGTTACAGCTTTAAGGGAGCCACTTCAGTCATTGTCCCTATGGAATAATTCTGTTTACTTCAAAACAGCCACCACATCTCCTCCTTCCTCAACCAACACAAAGACATCATGTTCTTCAAGGATCTGCCATCTGAGACCAGCTTGTTAATAACAAAATTATTCCAGGTCTTAGTGTTCTCTCATCTATGAAATCAACATCCCTTTAAAACAGACAAATCAAATGGTGCTTGGAGACTGCATTAGCCATCTTTACTGCACTCAGAAGAACAACTCAAGACACACAGAGACAGTGGATTTTCAAATAGGTGTTTTCTTGACCCAGTTAAATTTTTATTCAGTGAAAAAAGTTGACATTGAGACAAAAATTATCTTAAAATTGTGCAACAATATAGTAAAACCTTCAGCAGAAATCAGTGACTTGGAAACTTATCAAGGCAATTGAAATTATAAATACCTAATTTCACTTTGGAGCGAAACAAGTATACAGTGTTTCACTTTAAATAAGAGCAGAGTAGGCCTTTATTTTGCTGCGAATACTTTTGATTTTGCCTAAAGTTTCTAATAGTTCATAACAAGAGTCTTTAAATGAAAAATGACATAGAATATCTGAGGATAATGTTCCACTCCAGCATTCATGCTTATTCCATTTGAGCTATTACACATGAAACTAATACCATTCTTGGGTTATTACTTGTCAGTGATGATTTAATTCATAACATGGCTGCTCAAAATTAGTGGGCAGAAACATATATACAACCCATCCTCCCTCAACCTGTTTTCGGTGCTGGTATTCCATCTGAAAACATACTTATTGTCCATGTACCCAACAGTACATATCTCCTGCTTGCTATCTATTCCATATCTCGGTCTTGCATAGAAAGTAGTCTATATAAACTAAATGCACTGGCTTTTATTACACAAAAATTGTACCTGAAAGGCAGCACACACTCCAGTTAAGAAAAACAACATAACAGGAATGTCAAGATACAATCCCAACACAAGATTCTGCACAGAGTTTTAGAGTCAATTCCTAAAATCTACATGGGGGTGATATTCAGTTGGGTTATGTCTCTGGATGCCTTCTCTAGGGTCCCCCTCCACCTGTCTGTAGAAGGAAGAACATTTTCAGGAATTCACCATGACTCTTCATGAAGAAGGGACTGACCAAAACTGACAGGATGGTGTTTCCACCCTAAGGAAGTGTACTGGAAATACAATCTTACTAGATGGGGTGAACACTGGGAAGGCATCTGAAGGCAGGATTCTCCAAGGTGGAGCGGGTCCTCATCCGTAAGAGGCTCACCATGCTATTGCTCTCCCAAGATTCCCCTGAAAATGGCCAGTTTTGAGAAGGGTTACATTTCCTAGATTGCTGAGTATAGCTTAACCTAGTGCGCCAAACATGCTGGCAGGAGAGAAACGGCAGCTGTGTGTCCTTTGTCTGTCCCACTCAGACATCCCTGGTGATGCTACCAAAGTAGTTACTTGTCCAAAAGTCAGAAGTTTCCACCAGTTGCCTAGAATAACTAATTACCCAGTTTGTCAAGGTAGCCAGTAGTTCCTGGAGCTTCTCACCTGTCTGGAACCAGGACTGCATAGACACGGGGGCCTCTTCCTGGAATCCTCTGTCAAATTCCACTCTCTCACATTTTATCCATGTGCATTTGTATCTCACAAGGCTCAAGGGGCATTTATTATGTCCAGGAGTAAAATCAGCTTTCAAAGAAAACTCGTAAGCAACCCCCTGCCCACCAAATTTGAGAGGCCCATTGCGGTCCACACAGATGCAGGCATCTGACATTCTAACGTATGCCAGAAGAGAATAAAACCTTTTTCCTGCACAGTGTGAACTTCTGAGGTGGCATCTCCAGTAACGCACAAAAGCTCCTTCTTCACAAGCAAGCAGGGGCTCTGACTGGTCACAGTGAAGACAGTTATCTGGTCACCTTCAAAGGCTGCTCGTAGTACAAAGCATTTGTTTTCATTTCCTATTGGTACTCCAACCTCTGGATTCTTTCAGACAGCATATATACATGAAATCCCCACAAAGCTATGCAGAGGGAAACAGGAGTGTGTGCTTCAGAAGTTCATAAAAATATACAATTTACATATAGCTGCATCTATCTAGCTTAGTCTTCGGAAACTTAGCTCTTCTGTTTATATAAAATACTCTAGCCCTAAAAGGCTGCTTTTTTTTCAAACAGCACAGTGGCATTTTCCAAGGAGGGGGGTGATGGCCAGTCTACAGTACTATGCACTAAGCATTGGGAGGCACTGGTAGCTAGAACTGGATGCTCGAAAATATCTCAAGCTGCCAACTGGAGACATATGCTCTGTAAAAAGGCTTGCCTATGGAATAACTGAAAATAACATCCCAGAGCCTTTTATATCAGCCTTTACAAATGCCACCACAAAGTTGGCAGAAAAAGAAAAGAAAATACACTTCCTAGTGGTTCAATTAAATGACTTGCCTCCCACCAGGTTGTTAATGATTCAATTATTTAAAGAGCTTATTAAAGGGGAGGTGGTAGGGCTTAGAGTTTTGAATAAATCTCTAAGGTAATATAAGATAAAGCCAAAAACAATTCCGGTCTTTAAAAAAAAAACTTTAAAAAGGAGAGTGACAGGAAACAAGAGAAAATACGCTAGAAGAAGGCTTATCATTACCTCCAGTTGTTAAAATGAAATAGAGCCCTAACCATATGGCAAACTAAAGGTCAACAGCTTAAAATCCTCATCTAAAGTATATATATAAATTTTAAAAACTAAAAAATTTAATTGGCTCTTTCTTTGTGTCCTAAACAATCCGTAAGTAGAATGAAACTATATTATCACCCAAGAATGATATTTTTGGTTAAAGGAAACCAAACACTTGTGAGAAGGTGATGGCATCACATCTAAGTGGGGATGGAGCTTTACAAAGCTTGCATATAAAGGACATATATTCAGAGACATGACTTTGGAATATTCCCAGACCTCACCGCTTCTCAGCCGAGAGGAAATTCTTCAGTGAGAATCATACAGTACAAGTCACAACAATGCCAGACACTGGTGCCTACAACACTAAGCCTGAAGGACTGGCATCAGCCCACGATGGAGTCTACATAACTATCAAGTGGCCATGGTTTGAATACAGGGGTGGCATTTTAAAGGCAGAAGGAAAAAAAGCACAGCTTGTTTTACAGAGAGAATAAATGAACAAACTCTAGTGCTCCTGCTGTTGTTAACTGGATTGAGTAGTCTCAACTTTTTAGATCTTCTCTATCTCTATGAGACTGTACAGCACTGTCTCTTTAGATTGGTGGGGACATGGGTGAGAGAGATGGAAGAAAAGAAAAAAAAGAGAGAGAGAGAAGGCACTGACCCAATTCAAAATGACTGCATGTATCAGTATGGATTTTTAAGGATAGAAAGTGGCCATCTCAACCCAAATACATAATTTTACATTGGAGATCCTTCAGTAGTAAGTAAAACCAGAAGATGGAAAATGGAAAAAATGATGTACTGTATTGACCAGTGTATGGATCATGGCACAGATCTAGAACTCTCCCCCACAACCAGGGTGTGCTTTTGCAATGACAATGAGACCAGTGTGTAATAAAGCAGTGTTATCATTTTGTAGCTCCCAAAGCCACATCTTGTACAGAGGCACATACAGTAAAATTCCATCAATTAATATACGAGAGGAAGCTGTAGGCTTGCAGGGCTTCCCAAGCTGCAGCTCTGTTTAACTGAAATCCAGCAATGACTCAGCGCTCTCTCCTGCCAAAGACCATTATGTGACACACAAGTGAATAAAAATGGATTGCTTATGGAATGGCAACAAAAAAAATGCTTCTGTTCCCACCCCCAACCCTATGGGTAAGGGGCTCATAACATGTGGTGTTTGATGACCACTAAAGCCTGGCCTTACAGCGTCCCAATAAATTAACAAAATAACATAAAGGAACCTTCCCCATAATACACCCACACACTTTCCTATAGACTATATCCAAACAAAATTGAACATCTACGCACACTTTCAAGGAGAAGGGGTTCCACCCATCACTCTCTCAAGGTTTTTATTAAATACATTTCTGTGTCTTAGAAAAATAAAAAGATTGGCCAATTTACTGAACCAAAATTATCTCACAGACTTAAAAGCATGCCCAGCAAGCACAGCTCTGTAAGACTACATTAATGTCAAATCAAAGCAATTTGGTTACTAAAATCAATCTTGTTTGAAGTTCACAGTTGATTACTACAAAGTTTATTCATTTCTTTCTTTCCTTTTTTTTGTTTTTGTTTTTGGCCCATATAAAAATAACATATTGCAACTCAAAGTGCATCTTTTAAAATAAACCATCAACTATCTTTATCAAATAAAATATTTACACCATTTGGTTTCTAGTGAGGAAAACTCTTTCAGGCTATCACCATGGGGACGTCATCTGAAAATCCAGTTATCATAGGAGCATCTTCATCATCTTCTCCTAAAGACAAAACAGTCAGGCCTTGGTAAGTTCAAACACACTTTCACCTGACCCCATATCCTACCACTCTACCCATCCCTCAACCCTACCACCACACTCTGGCTGAGAAGGTCAACACCACAGCCAGACAGGCATAATAATCTGAAGCCGAGCCCAGCTTCCCACTGTCCCTCCTGGCCACCTTCTCCCCATTGGTGGATGCTCAATTTACTTTAATGGTAGTCTGAACTCAGCCAAATAAGGAAAACAAAGGTTCTTAGGAGAAGAATCTTATTATCTACTCAAAAGCTAAGTGGGTGGTTTGGATTCCTTAGTTTGAATTATCTATATCCTACATGAGCACAGAACTTCAGTGTCTGCTTTCTCTTCTGAACCCAAACTGCTCTGAGGAAAAGGATTTCGGACGGGTTTAAGCATTTTGAGGACAGCTTCCCAGACTAATGGCTGTCCCTTTGCGTCCCCCCTGGTATAATCCTGTGTAACCAAGGGTCGATCAAGACTCAGTGATTATTGCAGGGCATGATGACCGGTTGACTCTTTTTGCCTCCAATAGCAGAAGCAAAGAAGTCACCCCATTCACCCAAGGTACCTGCTTATTAACCAAGAAAGGAAACTGACAGGGAAGGGGAACAGAACTAATATATGATCAGGGAATGGGAATATACAAATGTCTTTATAAACATAGATAAATAATTATAACTAGTTTACAGAAAAAAATAAACTTGTACATTCATAGTCATTAGTCTAAATTTGGGGAAGACTTGTAACACATCCACTTAATTATATTACTATCTTACGATCTCTATTAGCATTTAGGATTTTCATTGTAAGGATTTCAAAAGGGGAAATTTCTTACTTTTTCCCTTGCTATGTGTTAAGACAGGTCCGCAACCCCCCGGGCCGAGGCCCACTGGCACTAGTACATGGCCTGTTAGGAACGGGGTCCACAAAGCAGGAGGTGGCGGTGATCAGTGAGCATTATAGCCTGAGCTCCGCCTCTTGTCAGATGAGGGCAGCATTAGATTCTCACAGGAGTGCAAACCCTATTGTGAACTGAGCATGCAAGGGATCTAGGTTGAGCCCTCCTTATTATGAGAATCTAATGCCTGCTGATCTGAGGTGGAACAGTCTCATCCTGAAGTCATCCTCCAGCCTCCCCGCTCCACTGATGGTCTGGTGAAAATACTGCCTTCCACAAAACCGGTCCCTGGTGCAAAACACGTTGGGGACCGCTGGGTTAAGATACACAAAAGAATGGCTGGTGAGGTTACACTAGCAACCAGAAAGAGAAACAGCAAGATGCAAAGGGCCTCCTTTGGTAGAAGCTGATTGGGAAAGCATTACTTTTCATCTCAAGTTAGGATCTCCAGAGACATCAGACCTCCAGGTCTGTGAAGGATGAGAGAGGGGTCAGATGTTCTTAAGGATTTCTCGATACTTTGGGAGTCAAAACCTGGGGCCTATCTATCCTTCCTGTTTAAGGCAAGCTCCCTGTTTCAGGCCGGTATTACAAGATCAAAGAGAATATAAAATTTTAATTTAATTAACTTAAAAGTTAAAAAGTAAGGGCTCTGAATGGTTTAACCAAAAGCCATAGCATCAAATCACTAGCTGATGAAGAGCTCCTCTAGTGTCAAAAGAGCAGCTGAAGGTGGGTGTTTCCTAATCAAGCCTTTGGCTGTGGGGGTCAGCCCTGGGAGGAAGAACCAACTCTCCCTGCCCTACTTACCCAGGTCATCCCCAGAGGAGAAGATTGCGGACCCCAGCCTGGAGCTGTAGTGGCTGTTGGCGAAGGCAGTGAAGCTGCTCTGCAGCCTCCGGTGCTTCGTGTACAGGATGGCAAATCCCACTCCCAGGCTCAGCAGTATCAGGAATAAGATGGGCACCACCACAGCAGCAACATCCGTAGATCTGGCAGCCTGCATTGCAGACGCATCTACACCTGCCAAAGCAAAGTTTCCACCAATGAAACCACCTGAGGGCGGGAGAACAGACCGGATGATTCCTCAAGGTCCCACCCACCAAAAAAGGCTGGTGATCGCCACAGCTATGAGAACCGCCTGTCTGGTGTGAGACGTCTCTGCATGTGCGTGATGCCTGATTGCTTCCCGACTACTTGCCATGAGCTGATAGACCAACGGCCCTGTGCATGCAAATACGGTAATTACATTAGACTCCTAATCACTGCCTTGTTGGTTATTTAGATAATCTCTTGGAAGGGAGACCTTTGTTGGGGTATCAACATTGATTTCATTAGCATTATTACTTAAGACCACTTGCTTGCCTTACATAAGAGGATGTGAAATCAGACCACTAATTAACGAGATTGCAATTATTTCCCCCTACTTGGCACCAAAGTCACTCTGAACTGCAATTACCTGAAGCTCCATTAAGTGATACAAACGAGATTCCTATACCACAATACAGACTTAACAGCCCATGAAGTTTTATGAGGTTTTTCACTTAAGTAAAAAAGAGAGTGGGGGAGAAAAACAACTTTCATGTACATTTAACATTTTTTAAAGCTCTTTGCAAAGCCATTTCAGCATTTATAACCTAACAAAGATGGCCCCTTCCTATTGACTTAAACAAACTGGCTCTGTGATGATTCGCAGATGATACCACCAGGCTCTAGGGCAAAGCCATCC